TTTTACGCATTCGCGCATCACACTAGTTTATTACGACTATTTTGAAAACACCACTATATACCAATTATTTTTATCTTAACGACATTCATTAAGATAATATAACAAATAATAAATGTATTTGGAGCAAAAACAATTTAAATATGAGATTACAAAGATATCTAAAACGTTTCAGTATTGCACTTGTTATATAAGAAACTAGTGTTTTTTTCTAATATCTTAAATTACATTTTCTTTAAAAATATATTACAATGAGACAATGAGTGTCCAGAGTTTAAATTTATATGACTTAAAAGAACTGTCTCTTCAAAACGAAGGATTGGCATTAATAGAAATGCTCCAGAATTTTGGTGTATTACATAATGCACCGAAATGCATAAGAGGGCATAAAATGAGCTCCATGTCCCCGGCACCCCCACCTCAACATTTTAAAATTCGAAATGGGTCATTCGTTTGTGCTTCGTTTGTGCTTGTTTGTGCTCTTCATCCCGACGTTTGTGCTTTCACTGTTCCCGAGATATCGAACTTTCTAAGTGGGGGTGCCGGGGACATGCTCAGCACCCCCACCTAAAAAAATTTAAATTTGAAGTGGGCTATTCGTTTGTGCTTCGTTTGTGCTTGTTTGTGCTCTTCATCCCGACGTTTGTGCTTTCACTGTTCCCGAGATATCGAACTTTCTAAGTGGGGGTGCTGGGGACATGCTCAGCACCCCCACCTCAACATTTTAAAATTCGAAATGGGTCATTCGTTTGTGCTTGTTTGTGCTCTTCATCCCGACGTTTGTGCTTGTTTGTGCTCTTCATCCCGACGTTTGTGCTTTCACTGTTCCCGAGATATCGAACTTTCTAAGTGGGGGTACTGGGGACATGCTCAGCACCCCCACCTCAACATTTTAAAATTCGAAATGGGTCATTCGTTTGTGCTTGTTTGTGCTCTTCATCCCGACGTTTGTGCTTTCACTGTTCCCGAGATATCGAACTTTCTAAGTGGGGGTGCTGGGGACATGCTCAGCACCCCCACCTCAACATTTTAAAATTCGAAATGGGTCATTCGTTTGTGCTTGTTTGTGCTCTTCATCCCGACGTTTGTGCTTGTTTGTGCTCTTCATCCTGACGTTTGTGCTTTCACCGTTCTCGAGATATCGAACTTTCCTAGTGGGGTCCGGGGACATTCTCAGCACCCCTCAGATTATGTGTAGTGTGGTGATGAAAAAAAAAGTTTGGTTCGTGGGGAGTAGATTTTTTGAGGGGATGGGGTGTAAAATTTTCAGTGGGTTTTTTGGGGATTAGGTTAGGTGATTTTGGGGGATAAGTTTCTTTTGTGGGGGGACGAGGAAGAACAAAATTTTGGAATCAGTGGTAGGTGTTGGGGGATAGGTTAGGGCTCGTAAGGGGCCAGGGTCCCCCAAGTCGCATGAAATAACCCCCGGCCCGCGTCGAGTAGTCTAACCACCACCCTGGAATTAGTTGGAAGTTTCGTTTCAATATTCCGTAAATTTGTGTTAATGTGTAGGTACTGGTCGTAATGTGCGTCTGACTTTTTCAAACTATTTTTCGTATAAAATACATACCTACTTTAGTCGGACGATGATGGTTGGTTATAAGTAGGGCTGGGATTTCGATGCACTTTGCATTGTTTTCCAAAGCTTATAGTGCAAGTTCGTCTTGTCAACATTTTGTTTCATGTACTTTTGAATGATAATAAGAAAGTTTATTTTGCATTTTTTGGAATTTTTTAGTTTTAAGGTCATTTTCTTAATTTTTTAGGGCATTTTAGAGTTGTTGGATCATTTTTTGAGTTTTTGAAAACAAATGATGAATTTGAAATTTTATTTCAAGATTCTTACACCAACATGGTGTAACATTTTTTTTTTTCAGATTAAACGAAGTACAAGACTATGAGATCTAGCTTGTGTACCTACAACTTTTTTTTTAAATTTATATTAACACTATGTATTTACACTTGTAATATATTTTTATAATGCATTTTATTTTAACTTTTTATTGTAATTCATATAATTTTATTTATACTAAAATTATAAAAAATAAAAATTTTAACTTATAGGTATTTGAGAACTTACTTATAAATATAAAATAATATAAATACTCAATGATTAATTTGATTTTAATGGTTAATAGCTTAAGAAACAAATGATACAACTGTCGCAAATTAATAGATAAGTATTAATATTTGCACAGAAAATTTAAAAAAATATTGTATATTAGTATCAATTAATACATTATACATTATTAATTATTTATTTACATTATTAATTACATTTTTATTTAATCTACCTATAAAATATGTACCTACTTAAATGTATATGCCAACACAGAATTTAAATACATTTTTATAAGCATATATTTTATAAAGTAATTTATAAAGTTTAATAATTTATAGATCACCTACATGTGAAACACGAATTACATGAATTTTAATATGTTTTCATTTATTAACATTTAGATACCTATTTAATAGGTACATAACATATTATAACAATATAAATAATTCTACTATATCATAACATTTTAAACAAAAACTTTTAGACATTAAGGGTCGATGGTGAGAAAATATTTTTGTTCTGTTGATCTCTTAGTGTAAAGTGTGATTGGCGTATTAGGGTGCACCTATTATTAGCAGAGTGAAGTTGATTGATATTCCTGGTTATTTTGTAAATTTGATGGTTTAGCTGCTCGCTCATTACAATTGAATACTGTAATACCAAATGACCATTAATAATGTTTTGTAAAAATTAATTTGTTTTAAAGGTTGATATTTGATTTTTTGTATTTAATAAAAAGTAGAGGTTTCTGTGTTTTTTTGGTTGAATAGCAGTCTTTTTGCTTTAATATGGTGGGCCCAGTTAAGTCGTTCGTCTAAAAACATACCTGAGTTGGGGGCATTTGTTACAATAGGAATAAAAGAGTTATTTAGTACTAGAAAAAACGTCTTTACAGGGGTAAATATTACGAGCAATGATTTAGTAGTGTTAATTTTGACTACACTTAGTGTACCAAGAGGATAGTACCTAGGTTAAGATAATAAGATGATACAGTTTGATAAGTAATAAATAAAACGTACAGAGTGTGTTAATATTATAATTATTTTAATTTGTTTTACACCTAATTAAACTCAAATAATGTCATGAAATTGTTATTTTGTCTTTTTACAATTAACAAACATTATTTAACTTAAGTATTTTAATAGCTAATAATATCCAATTATGTTTTTGTCTTGTAATATTTCCTCCCTATTTCATTATTATCTCCACGTAGATATTTAGACCTAAAATAGACATCTTATAAATCTGAAATGTTTACTGAGTTGTGCATAGTATAGCATCATATTATATTGTTCTGTATTCAATATATATATTTATTATATTAAATAAAGTTTACCTATTTATTTTATATACTTAAAATACTATTAAACTATTATAGTATTATATTATTGTATAGGCATAAAGCATTAATGTTTAGAAATATAAAACATAAAATATAAATTATTGAACGTTAGGTACCCGTACCTACTTACTTTTTAATTGTATAGTAGGTATATTAATTATAAAATCCAGATTAATATAATCATTGCATTAATCATTAATTGTCAGTTTAATATGTTTTACTATTATGCATCTTTGAGAAAATGTATTTAAATCAAACCACAAAATTGTGTTTACGTTAAGCAATTATAGGTATACATTAGTTTACCTAACTAATTAAATGTAAATTATAATAAAATTGTATTCAGTTTTTCTAAAAAAAATAGCTGTGACTATCACATTGGTATTGTTTGTTAATTTAATTTAATTCTTATAATGGTTACAGAATTTGTGTGCTTAGTTAAATACCTAATAAATATAGTATATACAAAATTACAAACCTAATATACCTAGGTATTATAAATACATATTTAGACGGATACTAACGTTATAGATGAACAGTTCTGTACCTATACACTATACAGTAGGTATATTACATTATATATAGTTGCACAATTTGTGTGCTTAATTAAATATATAATCACCAATATAGATTAGTTACTCATGGTGAAACTAAGTGGTTATTTAATTACATTGAAAATATAAAAATTATTGCACCTAATATGTAGGTAAAAGCTGGGCACTAACTAGTTAGAAAGTTAAAGTTAAGTTAGAAAGTTACTTTTTTAAGTAACTTTCTAACTTAACTAGTTAGTTTTAATTCATATTAACGTTGTAACTTAACTAGTTGAATTTAATGTGTACAATAGTCTTATCCAACTCGTTAGAAAAAAAACTAACTAGTTATTGTTATTATTATCTTTTTCATTCCAAAATGAATATTTTAATTTTAATTAATATTTTAAGTTGTCATACTGTTATATATTTTTTTTATTTTTTTTACCCTTTATGTTCTAATAACTGTTCTAATAGGTATGTTCTTTAAACGAAATTGTCCCAACATAATATATCAATGTTTAGACTGAAGATACTTGAAAGTTTTTGATTTTATGTGTTATATAACTTATACCTAAGTTATAATATTACAAATAAAATATGAACATAGGATTTTTAATCAAACATTTAATTATTAAAAGAATAAATAAATAGGTACATGTAACTTAAAATAGGTAGTCTATTTCATTTTTCAACTTATTGGTTACTTAAAAATTAATGAAACAGATAATAAAATATTTTATCGTTGATATCAACACTCATTTTACAATATTGGTATACTGTACCAATAGAATATTAAAATAATAATGAAATACATGTTTTATAATAAACAACTTAATGTGTATATTTACACTTATGTTTATAATAGGTATACTGTACCAATATAATATTAAAATAATAATAAAATACATATGTTTTATAATCAACAACACAATTTGGCAAACTTGCAATAGGTACTAAAAAAATAATTAAATATACTATAAATTATTTGAGAAAAATCATTAACTTAAAATTATAACAGTGACATTATCATTATTTTAGTGTAATAGATATTTATCCTCATTCCTCATAATGTATATGTTATGATTTGACAGTTGTGGACCACTGTAGACGGTCTGACATTTCGAACAGAGTTAAGCAAATCATCATATCTTTCCCAATTATTGTTTGTGTCTCGAAAATTAAATGATACATAATGTCCAACAGCATCTTTATGTGTACTTGATGGTGCTATGAAAGAAATGAGTCCTCTGAGAAAGTATATTTTTTGAAAAATATGAAGTGTACTTGGTATTTCGCTCAATTTTAAGGAGGCATTGTTATTAAATTTCTTTGTATTCGTAGGTAGTATTGGTTCTATAATTAAATGTTCACTTGCTATTACTGTTTTTATCAAGATTTCATTACAATTGGTACAGGTAAGGTTATTTTCTTTGTATGAACTTTTCAAAATATCTAACATAAAATTTAAATTTTCGGTAGGTAAATGTGCATGAATTATTGGATACGATATTGTTTCATCATAGTTGCATTTTATACATTTTTTTTGCTCTTTAAGGGATGGATAGTTTTGAAATAGTTCTTTTAGTAAGTAGTGTGCTGTACATGATGCATCTAAAACCATAATACCTCCAAAATTCTTGGGTATCTTATAATCTGCCATTACATCCTTCAAAATATTAGCTCTTTTTCTATATGCCTGTGCATTAATACCATCTCTTATTAACTTTTCTATTAAAGCAAAGAATGAATCATTATTATTTTAATTAATCCATGTTGAATATGATGTACTATCAATATAGGATGTACAAATAATATGAACTATGCTGTCAAATGAACATGTATTTGTAACACTATAAGGTTGTCCTTCGATAAAAATGTTTTTTAAATCAGCAAAATTTCCATTTTTTAGTATTCCTATAACTCTACTTTTAGTCTTGCTCGTGTCGTTGTAGAACAAAACAGTTGGGTCCTTGTCTAAATATGTTCCCTTTTTCTTTTTTTTTCCAACATCATATCCCAAACCTTTCCAATTTTCCACAACCACTTGATCATCATAATTGGGGAATTCTGGTTCTTTGATATGAGAAATCTTCTTCTTAGCAGATGACTGGTCCTGTTCATTAATTTTTAAATTAGGTATTTGATTTTTCATTAAACTATCTTCAACTTGATGTTCCTCTGTTTCTTTTTTTGAATGCAGGCTGTCGTTAGATAGTGATTGGTGTTCAAATTTTCTTTTGCTTGCTAACATATTTGTTGATCCAATTATTGAGTTCACATGAATTTTTAGAAAATCATCAAGTCTTAATGGTAGCGATTTGTGTTTAAAAACTATTGTTTTTAGGTCTTTAAACAAACTTTCCGAAGTAGAAGAACTTTCTGTTGTACTACCATATTTAAAAATAGGAACCATTAATGAAGACCAACAAGGTATCAACTTACAGAAATTAAATAACTTTTTTGCAATTGCTGGACAAAATTGCATGTTATCCCGATCACCAGAGTTATTTGATATATTATTAGAGCTTTCAATACAATTGTTATAAATATATTTAATTTCTTCAAAAATAGATGTATTTGGTAAGTTGTTAATCTGTAAATCAATTTCATTAGATTTATTTAAATCTTCTATAATATTAATAGCTTCATCAAATTCTGTTTCATGCGTAGCAATACGTTGTTTTAAGTATTTTTTTGAATTTTCACATGCTGTGGGTTCATTATTGGAATTTTGTCCATCAGTTTCATGAAGTGCTACTGTAAAAACATGCTTTAATACATTTTTCACATCTTCAAAGTCCATACTAACAATAGTTAATCCTATGGAACGCATATAGAAATTTTTTATTCTAGATGTTGTTGTTTTAAACTCCGACCAAGAACTGATTAAATGCATAATGTGATTAAAGTCATTTCTAAGCATGCAGGTAGGTATTTCAATGTCTTTCTTCATAATCAGATCTGAACATACACTTATGTATTTATTTAATGTTGAATATTGGGTAAATGTCTTTACTACTGCCATCATCAAAGCCAGAGATTGATCGGTTACAACTATCTTTGGAGGAGACATACTGTTTTTACACCATTCTGTAAGCCAATGACCAATACTATTGTGGTCATGCCGTTCAGAGAGCATGTGTGCAACTGAAAACTGACAATTATTTTCAAAATCTTTAACGCCTATTTGATATAAAAATATGTGTCCAGTTTCCCTCCCATTAATTAATGTAACTTTTTTTACCAATGCACCTGTAGCATCTATACAAATGGTAGGTATTTGTGTACGTTTACTATAATTTCTGTATGAATTGACTTCAAAAGATGACCAGTAATGTAAATAGAACCTGTCATAACCAATATCATGAAATATACTATTATATGGTAACATACCCTTCATTATAGACACTGCTAAAATTCTATCGTTGTGTACTTGATCTTTCTTCGGTTCCTTATATTTCATCACACGTAATGCATTCAATGTAGGTATGCTACTAGGCTCTTTATCACCATAGTTCATTTTTTTTTTTGCTTCCAATCTTTGTAAATAGGCCGCAGACATATTACAGTTAATTAATTTGTCTAAAAACATTTCTCGTTGGTTTCCAGTCACTTTTCTTTTTTTTCCACTTAAACAGTTATGAAAATGACCCTTAATTGTACAAGTAATAACAACTCTAGAATATTCTTCTGGTGCATGTTCTACTATACCTTTTAAATGACTTAAGCATATAATGCAACTTCCAATTATCTTTAAGTAAATTTGCCCTACGGTATATATTTTTGCATATTTATATGCTAAGCAACATGGCAATTTTGTCTGTTCAAAGAAATGTTCGGTTATAACATTTGTCCATTTGTGTGGTTTTAATATTTCATAAGATCTATTAAAATTTTTCCCATCAGAACGTTTATACTTGACTGGTTTTTCTCCTTTGATATTTATCCATTCTTGAGAAGAAAGAGTTATATTAAAATTTAAAGAATCTTCAATATCTTCTCCACCTGACAAATCTATGCAGTCTTCTTCAGAAGAGATTAAATCGGCTTCTGAATTATTAGGTGAATTTGTTGATGAATTTTGTTTCAACTTATCGTTTAAACCTAATTTATCAAATATTCCAAACCTATTTTGTAATACAATGGTATAAATGTATTTGGCTGTTATTGTATTATCCATTTCATTTTGAATACGAGTCCAACAACTTTGACCGGGTCCTTTAATTTTATTGGTATCTTCATTTAAAATTTGAATTTTTTTAATCACATCTATTAATTTATCCACATCTATTTTTGAAGTTTTAGGCATGGTGATTTGTTACCAATAACTGAAAAATAAAATAATATTTCAGAAAATAATCAATTTGATGGCCTTTTTATATTATATTATAATTTGACAGAAATTTAAAGTAGATCATTTAAAAAATTAATAAATAAATTAAACATTGTACATATTAAATATTTACTTTAATATACAACAGCTTTTTTTATTAAAAATCTTTTTAATTAGAATTTTTATTGATAGTGATAAACCTTTTTTTTTTTTTTAATTTATTAACTTAAACCCTTAATAAATAAATAACTACAAAATAAAAGAAAAAAAAGGTGGGCAAAAGGGTGTCGCTCTACTGTACAGTAGGCTACAAGACACAAGTGGGATCACTGAAATGAATGGTGTTAAATTTGCATCCAATGATATAATATCATTGTATAAGAAAAACGATTCTGAGCGAAAACTGTCAGACAGCATAGATAATATTACCAAGTATATTTGATGATATTATTGTGAATAAAGTAATTTATATATATGGCCTATTCACATGAAACCTTGTTTTAAATTTTCAATCCTTTGATATAAAAGTTGAACATTTTATACATTTTTAACTAAAATAATTTGTGAATACTCAATTTGATAAATTTCGTCTAAATTTAAACTTGCAACTGAGGTTCCTTTTTGTTTAAAACAAAATAAAAAAAAATCGTTACATGAGAAATAGGGTTAATATCCAATGTTGTAAAAATATGAACTTCAAACGCTAATAAAAATTTAATTTGAACATAGACATTTTTTTTTTGATAAAGGTAGATAATCTTTTAAGGAATTTTGTATTACATTTTAAAATCTTATATTTAAAAAAGAAAATTTTTAGGAATTTCTAACTTAAAATAATCTGCACATTTTCTTGATTTTTACGCCTTTTGTCAAAATTCGAACTTTAAATGCTTATAAACCAAGCTAAGTGTCACTAATGGGTGGTTTCTTATTCAAGAAATCCATATTTTTTAACTCTAATCCTATATGTGTCAATATAGAATGTTAGTTATGAATATTTGTAATATTTTGTTGATTTTAATGTTGTCAATTTTTAAAAATCATTAATTTTATTTTTTTCAATTATTTTAATTATTATTTTGTACGGTTTAATAAACAATTTTTTAAATATAAGTACATGTAATTATTTATTTATTTGATATTTTTTTAGGAGATTATTGTATTAAATCGCAGCATCACTTAAAAAGAGGATTAGTATCACATAGATATTATAGGTACTTATTACTTAATAGTTATTACATATATTAGATGATGCTAACATTAATTGATTAATAATTATGTAAACATTTAGTATCTTTAAAATGTATATTATATTTTACATAATATTATAATATTAATATTTATATAATATTATATTATACTAAATAATAATTATTTATTAAATATGAATACATACCATAAATGTACGATGAATCAAATCTCTTTTGGATTTCCAAAACAATTCGAATGAAGAATCACTGAGTACCTATACTCTCGAACACAGTTAAAAACATAGTGATGAATAATAAATATGTTAGAATATTACTTGCATCCCTAATCTCCTACTTAAAAAAATCTTACCGTTGAACTGAACAACAATGTTTTGTTTTTTACAATAATGAGTAGTCGTGAGGTTTCGCATAAACAACCCGTCAGCGGTACCCGGAATAAAAAGTACCTAACCACTGTACTCTAATTTAATCTCTTAAAAAAGACACTTTATAGGTGAAACCCTAATAATGTAGTAGATTGTAAATTTGCATTTGACAGGTGAAGTATATTCAATATAATTTTTACTAAAATATGATGAGGGAAGCAATTATAAAACCTACCTACTTAATATTATTGTCATGTCTTTTATTTTTATCCTACAAAGATATTTTATACTAGATAGGTACCTAGGTATTTGTGTATAATATTATTATAATTATTGTCAATGTTCCCATTATTGTCGTCTTGGGTACCTTTGGTACCTAGTGGCTAGTTGTTAGTTGTTACTTGTACCGCCACCTTATTATATAAAACTATACAAAATTAAAATATATACCTATACCTGCAGACCTTTAGATACATAATATTGTTTTATAAAATGTTTAACTATCCCCGTTTTAGGATTCCAGATCATCTACTTGTAATAAAAGCTTATACCTAACTTTTTCTACGAGTAAATCAATAATAACGATGGGACAAAGAGTACAAAAAATAAGCACTTATTTAGTCAAAACCAATGGGATTGATTTTGACCAAACAATTCGTTACGGGGAGGGGGGGGGTCAGCATGTCTTTACAACCCTCTCATTAAATTTATAAAGATAACTCCGGAAGTAGTAGAGTACGAAAGTTTGAATCTGAAATTCTGAGGTGGGGATTCAGTCGTTTCGCTGACACCCAAAATCGTTAACCCTTATAACTTCTTAAAAGTTGCAGCACGAACGATGAAATTTAAGCACAATCCAGCACAAAGGAAAGCCCTTGGTTTGAATTCAAAATTCGGAAGTTGGGGTGAAAGGAAAACTTGATAATTCTTAAAAAAAAACTTTAAAAATATTTATTTGAATATTATCATAGGCAGACTTGTCCGAGGATTTTTGTAGCCCCAAGTCTAGAAATTCTAAGAAAGGTTGTGCTGTGAGTATGAATTTCCTGGTAATATATTCCAGGGAGTATAAATATCCTAGGAATATTATACGGGGGTAAAAATTTCCCAGGTTTTTCTTACTCCTATGGTGGTATTATTATCCTAGGACATTTGTGCCGGGAGTACTAATTGCCTTTGGAAAATCATACCCCTAGGGGAGTTAAAATATCGTTGATATAATTTGCCGGTTACACCGGCACTCCCAATTGGAAAGTTCTATTTCTCGGGAATGGCGAAAGCACAAACGTCGGGATGAAGTGCACAAACAAGCACAAACGAATAGCCCACTTCAAATTTAAATTTTTTTAGGTGGGGTGCTGAGCATGTCCTCGGCACCCCCACTTAGAAAGTTCGATATTTCGGGAACAGTGAAAGCACAAACGTTGGGATGAAGAGCACAAACAAGCACAAACGAAGCACAAAAGAATGGCCCACTTCAAATTTAAATTTTTTTAGGTGGGGGTGCTGAGCATGTCCCCGGCACCCCCACTTAGAAAGTTCGATATCTCGGGAACAGCGAAAGCACAAACGTCGGGATGAAGAGCACAAACAAGCACAAACGAAGCACAAAAGAATGGCCCACTTCAAATTTAAAATCTTTGAGGTGGGGGTGCTGAGCATGTCCCTGGCACCCCCACTTGAAAAGTTCAATATCTCGGGAACAGTGAAAGCACAAACGTCGGGATGAAGAGCACAAACAAGCACAAACGAAGCACAAAAGAATGGCCAACTTCAAATTTAAAATCTTTGAGGTGGGGGTGCTGAGCATGTCCCCGGCACCCCCACTTAGAAAGTTCGATATCTCGGGAACAATGAAAGCACAAACGTCGGGATGAAGAGCACAAACAAGCACAAACGAAGCACAAAAGAATGGCCCACTTCAAATTTAAAATCTTTGAGGTGGGGGTGCTGAGCATGTCCCTGGCACCCCCACTTGAAAAGTTCAATATCTCGGGAACAGTGAAAGCACAAACGTCGGGATGAAGAGCACAAACAAGCACAAACGAAGCACAAAAGAATGGCCCACTTCAAATTTAAATTTTTTTAGGTGGGGGTGCTGAGCATGTCCCCGGCACCCCCACTTAGAAAGTTCGATATCTCGGGAACAGCGAAAGCACAAACGTCGGGATGAAGAGCACAAACAAGCACAAACGAAGCACAAAAGAATGGCCAACTTCAAATTTAAAATCTTTGAGGTGGGGGTGCTGAGCATGTCCCCGGCACCCCCACTTAGAAAGTTCGATATCTCGGGAACAATGAAAGCACAAACGTCGGGATGAAGAGCACAAACAAGCACAAACGAAGCACAAAAGAATGGCCAACTTCAAATTTAAAATCTTTGAGGTGGGGGTGCTGAGCATGTCCCCGGCACCCCCACTTAGAAAGTTCGATATCTCGGGAACAATGAAAGCACAAACGTCGGGATGAAGAGCACAAACAAGCACAAACGAAGCACAAATGAATAGCACACTTCAAGTTCAAAAATGTTGAGGTGGGGGTGCCGGGGACATGGAGCTCATAAAATGACATTAACACGCGAAGAAGCGTCTTTGGATAAATTCAAATGGAAGTGCAGGGAAAAACAAACTAACAAAAAAAAACTTGCAACTATAGGTAAATATTAAAACTAAATTAAACACTACATTATAATTACTAAAATTAAAACTAAACTAAATTATGTTGAAAGACATCGTACAGTGATGCCGTGCTAGCGGCACTCCTCGCTAAGCTCCTCGGCGCCGTCGCTCCGCTCCGCAAATCGAAAATATCCCCCGACTTGCTGTGCAACACCACCTTAAGTTGGTCACAGGGTAACCACAGGTTAACCAACGTACAACCACCTTATCATTTTTCGGACAACTGCCAGCCACGGCACAATCACAATCAAAATAAGTGAAAAAAAAAATCGCGAAATAGTGAACTTCATTAGGCCATAACTTCAAAACTAAGTCCGTGCCCCAAATTCGGTTTTCACCATCGTTTTCAGCGTATTTAACTACATAAGTTTCCAAAAAAAAAATTGCAAATAAAAAGGTGCCTGGTAAAGTAGAAATATACCATTATTTTAATTGTTAAGTTATAAATAATGTAGACCTATAGCAAATTACTATATTTAATATTTTTAAATTAAAATAAAGTCTGTATCCTAAAGGTAATTTATAGTTGCTCCAGTTGTTAAGTATATCATGAGTAGAGGTTGAAGTTTGAATACTTTTTAAACGGAACTGTGTTGTTGCTTTCCATTTATATTCTAAGTCAGGGAAAGAACAATTATTATCGTGTTTAATTTGTTCAAGAATATACTGTACATCATTTTCTGGTTCTGCAACATACCAATTCAATAAAGATAAGTATCATAATTTTAACAATTTTTTAAATATTAAATCTGAATAATATACCAAAATGTAAATCGTGTTTACGATTAATTGGATTGGTTGGTCGTTTTGTATGATTGCTAGAGGGTATTAGACCACTGTTTTTCAAAGTTCGCATAGAGTTGTAATATTTAGCATACAGCTTACCCTTTGGATTTTTGTTTGTATCATATTTTAAAAAATATGAATCCTAAAAAGTTAGAAAAGATGAGTAAAATAGAATAAATATAATAATAAATAAAAATACTAACTTTTACTTCTGTTGGAAATATATCAGCAATTTGATCAGCAATACTATTAGCAGCGAGGGCAACAGACATGGATATTTTCTTAGTTATGACATAATTGATAATAGTATCGACCAACAATGTTCTTATATTGTCATTAAATTTGTGATTTGTCTTATAATAGTCATTGATCATTAATCCAGTTGAGCACTCATTTAAAATTTCTCCAAGATTTATAGATATGGCTGAAGAAAGTTTTTCTTGAGAAAGTTTTTTGTCCAAAGTAGTTGGAAGCAGTGATGTCATAGAAGATGATTTTTTTTGAATTTTGCCACTTTTCTAAGTTATTAGAAAATAATATTTTAATGCCAAGTGGGTAATTTTTCAAAAGTTCATTAGTGTGATAGTCAACTTTCCTAATTGCCAAAATTTTCAAGTCAATTAGTTCATCTGAAATAAGTTAAGTTAATGTAAGCAAACTTGTTTTATAATTGTGATTGGAATTGCAATATAAGTTAATTATTATATTACCAAGTAAAGTTTGATAAGTACATTCCAAATTCCACTCTTTTAGTAAATCGTGCAAAGGTTGTAAGTCTTCAACTGGATATACGTAACCTTGCAGAAATGGCATAACTATTGTTGAAGACTGTAAATTAAAAATGTTATTAAGGGATTAGTTAAAAGCTGGATAATAATTTATTTTAAAATGGCTATTTTTTAAGACAAATCACAAGTGTTTGTAAAATTATTTTGTAAGTGGATATATTATAATACTTGCAGCATTATCAGTATTAATAAAAGCATCAACACAATTCAAATCATCAGAACAATTCATATCGCCAGCAGAGTTCAAAGCATCAACACAATTTGATTCAACAGCATAATGTGAATTTATATATGTTTCTGTTGGTCCATCCATTATTATTTTACTTGAAATTATACTGTAATCTAATAAATGCTAAAATACTAATTAAAGATTTAAAAAAAATAATATATACAAATATGAAAATAACGTTATTATATACATAGAATTACGGTTGAAAAATATAAATTATTAAAAAAATTCTTTTAGACGGATCATTAATCTGCCTGATGAAGTTGGTGTAATGTTAATAGGGGGTCCACTGAATTCTTCTATTTTAATAATCAAACAGTTATTTACAATGGTTCTGTCTTTATCAACTTCGAATGATTCAAGATGTGAATTAAAGTTTTCTATTTTAATCTGTTTAACTAGTACATAGATTATTAAAATGGGATTATCAATAACCACTAATTCTAATATCTCAAATAAATTAATTTCTTCAATAAATGTTGTTAAATAATATCCTCTTTTGTAAACTGTCCCCATGAACTCTATTTGATTGTAACAAGAAAAAAAAGATGTGCCATTTGTGGTAAGAGAAATTTTGGTAAGTATAGTACTTGAATATAAGCTGCTTATACAATGTTTTTGTTTCAATACAGTGTGCAGAGTATTAATAGGTTGTAGTAAAATGTAAGCAAATTTATATTGAAATTTTTTTGCTAATGTCAGAGTAATATTTTTCCATGATGATGTGGTACGTGCATAAGCTTTAAGTTCCTTGTGTTTCCCCTCAAAGCGAAAGCACCAATAATGTCTTAGAGGTCCTGCATGTCGAATAATATTGGGATAATGCGTTAAGAAATGATGCTTAGGTTTTAATGTATCATTAAATAGCCTTATATACATAGAGTTATGCTGATGTATTAGTTGTTTAAGATATTCAATTTTGCTTTCAGTAAACTTGTATGATAGAAGCATATCAATTATCTTAACAAGTGTTAAATAAAATTTCCAAACTTCATCATTTTCAGGAATAAATTCTCCAACCATGATAGAAAAAAAGTGAACAAATGTCATCATTTCTCTAGCTGACATCTTTAAATGGCATTTGTTTAAATGTTGTTCAGTAATTTCAGGAGATATATTACCAACTTCAATTGGTCCATAATTAAAATTAGTTTTTTGTTTATTTAAAGTGTACAAAGAAATAATCTGTGCCGTGTTAGTATAATATTTAATAATGTGACACATATCATAATGACATATGCCTTCAAAGATATCGTGCATAATATCTACACAATAATTTTCTACGACATGGAAATGTTCAATAGAGTTTATAATTGAGTTTTTATAAATTCCAGTCTCGCTGAAATTCATTTGGGCTACATCTTCTAAGTAGTTATTAGTATTACGCATAGATGAGCCATCTTCTTCACAAAGCTTATTTGCAATATTTTTATGAGACTTACAAAACCGGCAATAATAATTGGAAGAAAATGACTTACTGAATTCAAGTATACTGTTGAGCCCCATGTTGTCCCCCAAAATTAATCCAAGAATAAAATAAACTTTAAAGTCACCAAGTTCTGTTGTAATAATTATTCCTTCATTAGCAAGATAATTAATTTCATCAATTATTTGCAATAAACATGGATCATTTCCGAATTCTTTAAAATCAGCTGATTTAATTAATGCAGCTAGAAATATATTTGATAGCTTAGAATTATTTTCAATAAGAGGAAAACTATAGTAAATGGCTGCAATAGATTGATACGTCGCATGAGATCCTAATGGATTATTTATCTCAAAATCATCAATGTACAAAAAGTATGGAAAAACTATTTTTCCTTCATATTGAGATGTATTTTGTTTCCATAAATTTCCTTGTACAAAATTTGAGAAAGATGTTTTGTCAGTTTGGAAATTAACTGGCCTATCATAACTTGTTTTGAAATTGTTACCATGTTCGAAAAATTGTTTAAATTGGAATTGTAATGGTAAGAGAGCCCCTTTAGTTACTTTTTCGTTATAACAAATCTCACCACTATAAGAAACAGGACACATTTGATTATTAATAGTTATCTGTTGGACTTTGCATAACAAGTTATTGCTTATAAGCCAATTATTTAAGTGATACTCTGTACTGCAATAACTAAATGGATCTAGTATTAATCCCTCAAGCCTATTAAAAGTAGAAACTAATATAGGTTCTGAAAAATTAATTTTGACCATAATTTTAAGAATGGAGGCTATAGGTTTCAAAATATTTTCTGACATCCCAGACTGAATATAAAGTACATCACTATTATTGAAATTGTTATTATTGTATAAGCTAACAATAAATTTTAAAGTTGTTTCATACAATTCTTTTGCAGATTTTCCAAAGTTAAATGTATCTTTAAGTTCATCATAATTATTAATACTATCTGTAGTAGAATATTCTATACTCGGGGCCATATTAAATATTTCTTGTACACAGTTACCACTTTGTAGACTAGGAGATGTTGTAGAAATAACAGCTACATGCTTCTTATTGACATGCCTTTTAAATGATGACAAGCAATTAAATGATTGTGAACAAGCATTTTCCAAACATGTATAAGAACTATCAGGCTTAAGTAAATGAATTAATTTATAATGTACAACTAAAGCTTTCAATTCACCAACATCACATTTGCAAATATAACATATCATAATGGATACTTACCTGATTGACAGAAATTAGAAGTTAGTCGCAAACTCGCAACTGCCACAGTGCCACAAATGCAATATTTTCAACACACTGAATCCGCGAGGAGCTATAGGTAAACCTATTCAAATTGCAGTTATTTAACTTAAAAGTCGGTACCGCCACTCGGGAAGTCAAAAGACAAAAGCACAAATCAAATGTCAAAACTGCTCAAAACAGTAAAACACGTTACGAGTGGTCACTGGGTAATGGACATGGGTTGTAACTTGTAGAAAGTTTATGAGGTTATGAGCTTCATTTTCATTTTAATAATAATGATTATCAAATCAATAATATATTATATTGTTTTTACAAGATATCTTGTTATTCACACAAGATATTATCCAAATGACAATATTGATATTATCAAACATCAACAATGCCATATTGTTAATACAACCTATGTTATTTTTTGGATAAAATAGCTATTGTTGATTCAATAATAATATTATTAATCATTTTTGCGCCAATCATGATAATTATCATATTGACAATATTGAGAGAATACGGAGCTTTTTAGGGCTCCGTAAACCACCCACGACAAAAGGGGAACACTTTTGTCGCGACCTGTGAGCCGCACCGCGTGATGACCCAAGGGCCAAGTCGGTGGAGCTCACAGGCTTTGAACACGCAACGGCAAGTGAATGCCGAGGATTTATTAAAGGGGAAAATAATATAAAATAGTAAGAAAAGTTTTAGGGTAATCACGTGGATATATTAAATTAGCATTACAAGGGGAAATTGAAATTTAAACATTATAAAGATTAAGAATAATATAACTATGATAATATGATCTAATAATTTTGGCGCACGGCAAATGCAAACAATATAATTTGGTGGCACATGGCATATATAAAGTAATAATTTAACTTTGGTCGCATGCTTTCCCGGCCCGCCGGAGGCGACACACCATATTACTCATGGTGTGTCCTCGCAGGGTTACCGGGAAAGCGTGCCGGGAAAGGGGGGACAGGGGAAATAAAAACATATTACGACATTTGATATTTTGATGTGACGAGCTGCGTGGTCGATGTTGTAAGCTGGAGCAGTTGTGGCCGCCGCCCGGGCCCTCGTGGTTCACTCAGCCCATCATGGTGAGCGATCGCAGGTGTCCCAGTATGTTGACGGTAGTTGAAAACGATTCTCGGAAGTGGGTTGTTTGTCGATCAACTCGGTTGCCTCGTGGTCTGCAGGTCGTTTAACAAAGACGAGTGTATGAAGTCGACCGGGCAGGTGTGGAGATGTTAACCAGGCGTCCAGGCAGGTGAAAGGCCGTAAAAAGAGTGATTTTGCTGACACGGAAACCCGGCGACGGCGGTGGCTTGTTGCCGGCGGCGGAGCTTTTCTCTTCGTTGGTGGGGCAGGTCAGTGTCGTCATTGTGTGGGAATGTACAATATGTTCGGGTCGTTCAGGACTGTTCTGCCGGTGCGGTGCCGTCGGACGCGACAAAAGCGCCGACAGCAACGGCGGCCGTGTGTGGCGACATGAAGACACCGTGCACTGCGGGTTTGTGGGGGCCGGGGAACAATAATTACATAATACTGCGGTCATTTCTGCAATAGCGCGCGATAATCGTAATAATTTATAAATAAGGTACGCTCATTAGTGGCAATATGGGTACAGGTATGTTTGTTATTGTAATAATATGAATGCAAAAAATGCTGTGACGTTACAGAACCCCCCCAACAAATTGTTGAAGGTGTCTGCAAGAATACCTGAGAACCATTTGTTGTAGAGTAAGAGGGCAGAATTTTTTGGGAATGACCATAGACTAGCAATTAGAGGGAATTTAACATTTGAATTAGGGACATCATAATAATAATCGAATATATAATTTATCAAGGGGCTTATTTGAGAGAATTGGTTGTAACGGACCGGCAATGCGAGTGGTCTTCGGCTTGCACTTCTGACACAACTCACATGCCTGTACGACACAACGGACGGTTTTATGAAATGAGGGGAAATAACAAATATTTTTTAAAGTATGAGCAGTTTTAAGGGGACCAGTGTGGGCATAATAATAATGGAATAATAATACAACTTGTTTGACCAAGTGGTCAGGAATATAAAGGGACCAATGGGTGTTAGCTTTGGTTGTTCGAATAAATAAAGTGTCTTTTTTCAAAGTATAATATTGCTTCCAGACTGGTGGGTGATTTGATTTTAATTTAATAATGATATTTTTTAAGCGGGGGTCTTTTTGTTGTTCAGATGAGATATTGTTAAATATTGAAATAATGTCGGGAGGAATAGGTGGGGGGAGAGTATAATGTAGAATACTGGGGGAGTCTTTGGGTGGTTGATCGTCGCGACCAAGGGGGTGTCTTGACAGGGTATCTATGGGATTGTCTTTCCCAGGACAGTGAATAATTTTGAGATCAAACTCTTGGAGTGCAAGAGTCCAACGGGTGAGACGGGAGTTTTTTAATTTGCAAGAGAAGAGAAATGTTAAAGCTTTATGGTCAGTATATAAATTAATTGGGTGGCCGAGAATATAAATTTTGAATTTCTGACAGGCAAACAGAATACCTAGCAGCTCTAGTTCAGTCACTGTGTAGTTCCTTTCGGCACCACACAGTGACCTACTTGCGAACGACAGGGTATCGCGTTGGCCCGCAGCGTTAATTTGGAAAAGTTCTGCTCCAAGTCCTATGTACGAGGCATCGGTTTGGATACAGAAGGGAATATTAAAATCGGGGTGAGTTAATGATATTTGAAGGGAGAAAGCAGTTTTTATTTTTTGGAAAGCTATTTTATCTTGTTCGGTGAATATCCAGGGGGTGTCTTTACAAATGAGATGAGAAAGGGGGTGTAAGAGAGAAGAATGATTTTGTGAGAATTTACGATAGAAGTTACAGAAGCCAAAAAATGATTGGAGGTCCTTTTTATTACGAGGTTCGGGAAAATTTTGAAGGGCGTTAACTTTGTCGGGGTCCATGATCATACCGGTAGGGGATATAAAGTGACCGAGAAATTTAATTTGTTTTTTATTGAAGTGACATTTTTTAAATTTTAGAGTGAGGCCTGCTAGAGAGATTTTGTGAAAAATCCACTCTAGAGTCTCAAGGTGTGTTTCGAAAGAAGGGGAGGATACTAATATGTCGTCGACGTAGGTATGAATGTCATTAGGGGAGGGACAGGGGCTAGTATAATTATTTAGGGCGGCTTCTAATCCTTTCCCAAAGGCTGCATTGGAAATATTTAACCCAAAAGGCACTACACAAAATTGGTAGGACCTTCCGTCGTAGAGGAAACTGGTGTACTGACGAACCGAGGGGTCGAGTGGGATTTGCCAATAGCCAGAGGAAAAATCAAGAGAAGAGAAAAAGGATTTATTATTAAATTTTGCTAGGATATCATCGATTGGGGGGGAAGCGTCTCGAGTGGGGAGAATAATAGTATTTAATTTACGAGCGTCCAAGCACAAACGTAGTGTGCCGTCAGCTTTTATTACAGTAACAAGGGGATTATTGTACGGGGAATCTGATCTTTCGATCACCCCCCACTTAATCATCTTGTCAATTTCTTTTTGTACGGCGGGACGACGAGAGAAGGGTACAGGGTACGGTTTAATTTTATAGGGGTCATGAGGTTTAATATTAAATTTATAAGAGAAGAAAGTGTGAAGGCCGGGTTTGTCTTTGAAAATGTGATCATATTTTTGAAGGAGGGAGGTCATTAATTTGTGTTGAGAATCATTAAGGGGAATGTCATTAAGGGCAATATTTTTTTCTGTTTCGAATGGATAGGTTTGATTTATTAAGTGGGAAGGACCTTCGTACATGGTGAAAGGATCATTAGTGACAGTAATATTTTTTAACGAATTAACTAAGCTATTTGGATCATTATCTTGAATTAATTTAAAGGGGATGTTATCTTTGATAGAGGGGAGGGAGATTTCCTTGCTATTGTAGTCTATGGTCACCCCGTTTTCAAGTAACCAGTCGGTACCTAGAATTAAGGGTGTAGACAATTGGGGAACAACTAGAAATATACCGTGTGTTTTATAATTTTGAACATAAAAATTTAAATAGATTTGAGATTTTACTTTAATTGTTTTGTGACTGAGTGCCGTGGTCAAGAGAATGCCTGTGAGGGGAAAGAGGGGAATTGCGTTTGGGTCAGAATTTTGATTTAATATTTTAAAAAGGTCTTCAGAGATAGCAGAGACAGTTGCGCCAGAGTCTAAGAGAGCATTGTGACATTTATTAAAGAGAGTGATGGGAATTTCGGGGCGGTAATTTGGAGGAGGTGTTTGTTCGAAATCGGGGAGAGAAGCTAGTGGGTGGGTGAGTATTGATATATTATGAGGATTGATATTAGAAGAGGACACAGTGCACATCCTCGCGGGCATGGTCAGACCTAGTTTTCCGGAGGAGGGGTAGTGGTAGGGGGAGTTGGGGCGGATTGATTATGAGAATTATATTGAGGGCGTTGATAGTTATTTTGACGAGGAGAATATCTATTTTGTTGATTGGGGCCAGAAGAATTGTTAAATGAATTTCGGTTTTGATTTTGATAAGAGGGTGCATTTTGACTATTTTGATTTTGATAAGAGATTTGACTATTTTGATTATTTGGAGGGGAATGAGCTTGCTGAATGTGGGAGAGTTGTTGAACGAGTTCATTAGTGGTGGTGATACGGAGACCTCTGAGGGCAATGGAAATGTTAAAGGTGAAGTGGGAAGTGATCTGATCAACCATCTCGGCCTGATCGATTGGTGGCTGCAAGAACCGGGCCTTACTGATCCAATCCATCGCGTGCTTCTGCAGAGATGATGAGTCTCTGTGGAAGTAGGGGCGATAGAGTTCGTTTCGGATTGCGCGCTGTTGATTGGGTGACCAGAACTGATTACGAAATGTTACTAAAAAATCTTGATAATTTGTTGGGGGGGAAGTAGAGTGGTGTACCAGAGACGGGCACCTTCGACGAATTTAGACTTGATATAATTTTGACATTATCGGGGACTGGGGGCTGGGTGAGAAAATACTGTTCGGCCTGTTCAATGAACTCCTCAGGGTGAACTGGAATGAGTTGACCATCATAGGGGGGAAGCTTTGCAGAATCGAGGCTAATGCCAGTGCTGTTGGAAAGGGTGGTACTATTTATTGTGGACGTGGTTTGGTTAGGAAATGATATATTGTAATTAGGGGCGGAAAAACTAGAAGTATTTGAAGGGATAGCGGATTGTGTTGGAATAGGATGAGCGACGGTAGTGGAAGTTAAGATACTATTAAAGGAAACTTGAGGCATTGACTGTGAACAGGTTATTGGGGGGGAAACTAGAGGGACAGAATTTTGAAATTTATTTTCCAGAGCAGCTAGCCTGGCACTTTGACCTTCGACAAGGCTGATCCTATCTCCGAGGGCTCTGATGGTGTCACTAAGCGCGCGTTGGGAATTGATTGTACATTTTTGGGATTCTTGGGTCCGCTGTTGTTGTTGGGAATTTTCGTTTTGTATGGCAATGAGATCTTTGTTGACTGAGGATTGAAATTGTGTGAACTTAACGTTGACTTCAGAGTCATTGTCATCGATTCTAAGACATAGTTCATCCAGGCGCGCGTCGAGTTCACCGAACTTCCGGGAGACATTATCTAGCTGAGAGTTGAACGCATCAGACATGTTGGATATTAACTGGGCCAACGACTCTAAAGAGAGGGAGGGGTTTCCTACTAGGGATTGATTTGCATCTTCAGTACCTGACATGGTGATATCAAAATCAGTGGCAGGAAGTATGGGGGAGGGGTAATAATTGGAGGGATTGAACCTATCAGGCTGTTTGGTCCGGCGTTGACCAGCACTATGCATGGATCAGTCACGAATAAACACCAGAGTGTTTCAGTATTGGGGACGTTGGTTTAAGAACCAGCTAGCTTAGTGGGCAGAGCACACAAAAAAAAAAAAAAATATTTATAATAATTAAAGTAATAGAATAGGGAAATGTTTTAAAATATTTTATAATGATAATTTTTTTTTTTTTTTTAAAGTAGTTTAATAGTTAACAGAACCTTTTAGGAGATTGAATTAATAAGATAATATAATGATAAATAAAATATCAAGAAACCAAAGTAAAGGTGACTTAATAAAACAGTAATAATTTTTTTTTTTTTTTAAATAATATTAATTTAAATAGTGTAATAGTAATAGGGGAAAATATTGGAAAATATTAAATAGTTATATTGAAGTAATTATAAAATGAAAAATTGTTGCTAAACAATAAAGTGGAGAACTGGTCCAAGTATTAAAATAATACTATACAATAAACCTCCTTATGCGTAGCACCAATTCATAAACAAAATAAGAATAGAATAGTAATAATAATAAGTGATAATTAATTTAAATGTGACCACAGTAACAGTGAAATAATGAAAGTACTAATAAGAGAATATTTAAATAGTGGTGCACTAAGCGTACCAGAAGGAGTAATTTAATAATAATAATAAAAATGTAATATAGATTGTTATACTACAAGGTAAATAATATAGGGGAAAATCAATTTTAATTTAACAAAATAATAATTAATTATAACAGGTTATACTAAAGGAAATATGATATTTTAATATAAAAGTTGACTAAATGTCCTAAGACAGATAATAATTGTAAGTCTAATATGAAGATAATAACTTTGAGATAGTCAAAAAGAAATAGATTTAATTTATAATTTATAATATGTAATATAATGGGGCCCTAAGCAGGACAAACTACCTAGCCTTCAAGCTACCTAGCAGCACATCAGTCGTTATATAGTCGTATAGTAAAATTTATATTAAGGGAAACATTTTATAACAAGGGAAACATAATAATACTAATGGTTTTAAATAATAGGGGAAATAGTGAATATTTTAAATAAACTAGTTATGGGGACACAGCTTGCAAGAGAATAATAGTTTTAAATTTTAAAGTTAACAGTTTGAATAATGAGTTTGATTACTTTTACAAGAATGAGTGAATATTTTTAATATTTTACTAATGTTTTTAATATAATTGTTAATATCTGATTTAATAAGCATTAAGTTTTTTGATATCATATATTTTACTTTTCTTACAGTATTTGTAGTTGAGAATGAGAATAAAAATGTATTTTGAGTTATAATATAATAATTTTTGTTGTGTACCAAGGTATAATATTTAATTTTCTACATTTGAAATAATAATAATTTTAATAAGCTAATGAGCATAATAACATTGACAATCCGCAGATTTTAATATAATATAATAAATTTGACCATGAGGTCTTTACAAGAATATGAGTTATAATAATATAAAGTTGACCATGTGGTCTGGGGAAAAACAAGAGTTATCGCGCGTTCCTACAGAAATGAACCTAGCAGTGTTATGTGAGGGAGGAAAAAACGGGTCTTAGGGAGCATAATTAAGGGGGGAACAATAGGGGAAAATATAAAAGACATACCAAGGGGAAAAGACGGGTCGTATGCAGTGTCCGGTTCCTAGTCGCCGCAGCTGTCAGGCCAAATCCGTCACTTGTCAAACGCCTCTGCCGCATCCTCAGCCAGCACGCACACACCGAGCAGGAACAATTTCTGAAATAATTACTGGATAACAATTTTTCAGCAGGGGGGACATAAAAAGAGAATAATAATAATCTTACCTTGGTAGGTGTTGCATCATTCTGCATATTAATTTTACAATATATTTTTTTTTTCTACCATAGGTAAATGAGAATAATAATATGACTGTGAAGGTAATTTTAATGTAATAATAATATTGAGAGATCTCTTGCAAGAGTATAAAATTTTTGTCATATTAAAATAATTTAATTTAATAAAAATATGGGATTTTTGGGGAGTAGCACGAGTAGGGAGTTTGGGCGGTTCGATTTTAAGAGTTATTAATGTTAAGAAGTGAAAAGTTTTAAAGATGAAAATGGATAATTTATTTTTTGCCATGTGCTTGCCAGAAAGAAAAATTTATATGTTTTAGACCTAACTTTATTTGCCATAGAAAGAAGAGATTTTAATATTTTAAATTTTGAGAGCGTGGTTTTTAATTTTAAGTGATTTTAGAGAAGAGAAGAGAAAAAAAAAATATTATTAATTACAAAGGGGATTGGGACATGGGTCCTGTCACGGTCGCCATATGAGAGAATACGGAGCTTTTTAGGGCTCCGTAAACCACCCACGACAAAAGGGGAACACTTTTGTCGCGACCTGTGAGCCGCACCGCGTGATGACCCAAGGGCCAAGTCGGTGGAGCTCACAGGCTTTGAACACGCAACGGCAAGTGAATGCCGAGGATTTATTAAAGGGGAAAATAATATAAAATAGTAAGAAAAGTTTTAGGGTAATCACGTGGATATATTAAATTGGCATTACAAGGGGAAATTGAAATTTAAACATTATAAAGATTAAGAATAATATAACTATGATAATATGATCTAATAATTTTGGCGCACGGCAAATGCAAACAATATAATTTGGTGGCACATGGCATATATAAAGTAATAATTTAACTTTGGTCGCATGCTTTCCCGGCCCGCCGGAGGCGACACACCATATTACTCATGGTGTGTCCTCGCAGGGTTACCGGGAAAGCGTGCCGGGAAAGGGGGGACAGGGGAAATAAAAACATATTACGACATTTGATATTTTGATGTGACGAGCTGCGTGGTCGATGTTGTAAGCTGGAGCAGTTGTGGCCGCCGCCCGGGCCCTCGTGGTTCACTCAGCCCATCATGGTGAGCGATCGCAGGTGTCCCAGTATGTTGACGGTAGTTGAAAACGATTCTCGGAAGTGGGTTGTTTGTCGATCAACTCGGTTGCCTCGTGGTCTGCAGGTCGTTTAACAAAGACGAGTGTATGAAGTCGACCGGGCAGGTGTGGAGATGTTAACCAGGCGTCCAGGCAGGTGAAAGGCCGTAAAAAGAGTGATTTTGCTGACACGGAAACCCGGCGACGGCGGTGGCTTGTTGCCGGCGGCGGAGCTTTTCTCTTCGTTGGTGGGGCAGGTCAGTGTCGTCATTGTGTGGGAATGTACAATATGTTCGGGTCGTTCAGGACTGTTCTGCCGGTGCGGTGCCGTCGGACGCGACAAAAGCGCCGACAGCAACGGCGGCCGTGTGTGGCGACATGAAGACACCGTGCACTGCGGGTTTGTGGGGGCCGGGGAACAATAATTACATAATACTGCGGTCATTTCTGCAATAGCGCGCGATAATCGTAATAATTTATAAATAAGGTACGCTCATTAGTGGCAATATGGGTACAGGTATGTTTGTTATTGTAATAATATGAATGCAAAAAATGCTGTGACGTTACAATATATTACATTGTTTTTACAAAATATCTTGTTATTCACACAATTTATTATCCAGGTGACAAGATTAACATTGTTAAACTTCGACAATATCATATTATTAATATTACAAATGATATTTTTTTCGGTGTAGGTCCTGTGGTGCTAAAAAATATAATAAGTGAAGAGTGCTACTTCCATTTTTTGAGCTTTCATATTATCATGACTTCTTTTTTAACTCCAAATATTAGTGAAAATTTATTAAAATTTGTAAATGAATTAGTCATATATTTTGTACGAAAGTTTGGTGATATTTATGGAAAAGAATGGATTTCACACAATGTGCACTCATTTCAACATATATGTGATGATTATGTGACGTTTTGGATCGTTAGATAATTGTTCAGCTTTTCCATTCGAAAATCATATGTCCACATTAAAGAAATTAATTAGAAAAAGTAATCAGCCACTTCAACAAGTGGTAAAACGATATGCGGAACGTACACATTTCAAACCACAAAATCATTTTGATACATTCAATGAAATATATAATTGTAAAAATCAACATAGTGGAGTGCCTTTATTGCTCAACTTACAAACAGTTTCACAGTTTAACATATTATATTAAAAAAATACTGAGATTAAGATCAATAATAAAGCTGACTGCTATGTACAAACGATTGATAAAAATATTATAAAAGTTGTTAATATATGTCATACATTAAATGGACAAATATATATTCTAGGACATCGTTTTACATCTGTTATGGATTTTTATAAGCGTCCTTTACACAGTTCCAAATTATGTATATATGTAGTGAATGAATTAAATAGCCACTTGGAAAGTTGGCCTGTAAAAAATATAATGTGCAAATGTATGATTTTTGAATATGCCAACCAAAAAGTGGCTTTTCCGCTGATTCATACATACATAAGAGACTAAATTAACATATTGTACGAATCGTTAAATAAAATAAATATTTATTACTATATCTATATTGTTGTACATTATATTATTATATTATCGTTTCCTAAGAAATTAGGTATTTAAATATTATAGAACAATTGTGAATTTTTTTGTTTTTGTTAAGATGTAAAAATTGTATTTTATATTAAGTAAGTAAATATAAATATATTATCATAAACTATAAAGTATAAACAATGGCAAGAGGAACTTATTGCTCTTAGTACAAAGTGATAACGTGGAAGAGTGAAACTTGCAACTGCCAATAGTATAATAAGTAATAACCGTCGATGCGATGGAGTGGTGGTCGGTGGACCTATCACATGCTCTGTATATTCCGTATTCGTATTTCCGTTACAGACACACAGACACAACAGTAGCATAGAACAGAATAGAAGCGAAACTCGATCAGCTGATTGCGGTATTGGTTCCCTATGATCTGAAGTCTGAACCTACGAAAAACATGGAATTGGTTCCCGCACCAACATGATGTTAGACCCGTATATTATAAAATTGGTTCCAAGACTAAGGCGGGATATGGGACGCGGGGTTTTCACGTATGCCACGCCCTCCTGAAGTCCGTGTTCAAGGC